ACTCCCTGCATGCATGAAAATGTACATGTACATTTCATAAGATCCATACAAAATTCAGAGCTGTAGAGGATCCTAATGGCACACTTTAACAGGTCTATGAAAGGAATTCACTGGAGCATATTTGTAGCAAATAGGCCTATATTTTCCTCTGACATTTCTGAAGTGTATAATAACTACCGGAACATTGTATGAGACATCCCTTTTTGGTGAAATGTTTTGCAAAGTGCACTTTTTTAAAACATTTAAAATATTTCTTGCTTTTCTTGACAACTGAGGGCGCTGTTACTGTGATGTCACTTTAGGAACACAGTCTTCAGATGAGGGTGATTCTCTTCAAATTGTAATCCAAAATTAATATTGACAACATTTATGCATGTTTTCTAACTGTCTTAATGTCAGTATTGGTACATTGTACTGAACCAACAAATGACTCGCTGAAAGCAGAATTTACCGGTAAGTAACCACAGTAAACCCCCAAAATTCTGGTGAAAACCGGTATTTATGCTGAAGCAGATTCGACATTGAAGCCAAAATGTCATTACAACGCCCAAGAAATGCCAATATGAGGATAAGTTAACTGGGACACAAAGGTATATTTCAAGGATTGCATAAGCTTAGAAAATTCCAATACATGGGCCCTTTGGCTAAAATCAAGTCAAATTAAGTTGCTGAGTGATGGTACTGCTAATTGGCCTGTACAGCCCAAAAATCTATCAAAACTAATTTGCTTTTAACATACTGCTCAAGTTGGGAAAGTTGGTTTCAGTTTTTTGGCAACAAACTGCTTCCTCAAAAACATGACCCTCAAATCTGAAAAGCAGTGTACCGCACGAAGCTTAAGCCTCACAAACCCTATCACGTCAACCAATATCTTACTGTCCAAATCTATTTTTTGACTCAGCACAACTGGCATTCAATGTTACGAAAACATCCGGGCCAGAACAGGATTAAAATCAAGGACCTCAGCCCGCAACTGAATGGGACCAAAAAATAATATCCACTTGCAAAAAGTTCTTTACAAGGTTTCAAAGTGGGATAAAACTGGGACGGCCGCACGCTATTTCACGGCTAGGTGACCCCAAACTTTGAGATTTGTACGTACATGTACTGAGTGGACAACTTGAATAAGGCAGGGGGGATTATAGGACTGGACTACGTACATGTACATGTACATTGCTGGCTTTTTATAACGGATTGTTACTGGAAAGTGCCTGGCTTATCCCTGCCATGTTATACATGGCACTGTATTGGCAAGTAATAAAAACATGGTGCGTACTGCCAAAGCTGTTGTGATGTAGGATTTTTATGACAGGTGTTTTCTTTATGGAAAGGCAACTGAGGATAGAAGGGTGGATTTGTACAGTATGTATGCACATACTGTACAGGACCAATTATTGCCATTTTTACAAGAACTATGAATAGGGGTGTCATTAAGAAATTGGACTTGTTAAATCTGCACTTGTAAGCTAAACCAAGACACACTCAGTGAACTCCAGAGATAGAGCCTTTGTAAAACATGCATTCAGAGTTTGTACATTCTAAACAATAACAAAAAGAAAGGGTTTTTTCAGTGATTAATATTTAAAGGACCCATGCAACGTAATTTTGTTTATAAAATGCAATCCTTGAAAATTAACCTTGTGTCCCATTTAACCTCGTTTTGCCAGTCTCAATGGTATTTGTATTGGGTTTTTATGGTACATGTAAATGCAAAATTTGGTTTTTATGGTACATGTAAATTTTATGCAAATTTCCATATTCATGAGCAAGGGTGTGATGTATGTAATTTCAGACAGAAACCTCAATGTTACAGCTATTTTAGCACCAAAATTTGCCCGAATTTTGGATTTTTGCTGTCGTGAATTTGCTTTTCTTTGGTGATTCGTTGTGTCAGTACATAGGAAAGGGGTCGGACTAGAAAAAAGGAGGAGCTTGAAAGAGGTAGGGGCTACAGTACAGGTGGGAGGGGCTACAATGAGGGAGTGCTACAGGTGGGAGGGGCTGCAATGAGGGAGGGGCTAGAAAGGGGAGGAGCTAGATAGAGAGGACGAGAAAAGATGTGAACTCATTGGGGGAAATGTCATTGAGCTGCAAAATTATGTAACAGCGCATTGATTCTTTGAAAAGCTTTACACACCACATACTCAGCAAACATAAAAAGGGCTGTTTTGCCTTCTGTTGAAATCAATGGTGCTGGGTCAATCGTTACTGAAGAGATATGCAAATAAGGTATCAATGGAAACACTTTGATAGCGTAAGCCGTTCAAGTTCATCTTTTGTACATACCGGTACCCATTATTATTTTTAAATCACATGTACCTTTTTTTAAACACCCTGTCCCTGTGGCAACTTTTTTTTACCAGGCTTTCTTTGTGCATGGCAAATATTTCTGCATGGCAGCTGCATGAATTGGGCTTCTACAAATGTAGTTGTCATTACAGTCATCTTTTGATTAAACTTTTTGCCAACTAACTCAGTAGAGTAGGCCTACACTCAGTTGTAATGTGAATCTGTTCATGTACGTGAAGGATAGTCTGCACTTTGAACGTACAAGTGCATGCTTGATGTACATTACGTGTACCGGTATATATTGTAACAAAGCAATGTACACCAAAATTGCAACTAAACCTTCCCGATGACCCAAGTACTCATCCTTTAGCCAAGTATTCATTCCATCTGGCCAGATATTCTGTAAAGTTAACTGTACTACTTGAGAGTTTCAATTTAAAATTCTAAAAGTGGACTAGAGGAGGTTGAGCCCACTCGTGTAACAAGAGCAAGACATATTTTCCCCGGTAAGCGCTTGAAAATCAAATTAGGTCCTTGGTGTTTTTCCCATTTTCCCGACAAGCAGGGGAATTTGCAAAAGTACTTGAGCGATGATCAATTCGGAAGGTGAATTCCGGAAGGCCCGGGTTTTGATGTTGGTCTATGAAAGGGTCAACAGTATCCCCGGCAGAGCTCTCGTGTTACATGTTCCCTGGCTGAGCACAGCAAACAGTCAGCATGGTCGGCTCTCCAACGATACCACGGCAACAGAGTCATTTACACTTCTGTCAATACGCGGTGCCCGCTGTGAACACAGTTTAGGGTCTGATGCCATACATACCATGAAATGGATCCAGTGTAACCAAAATTGCTGATAATGGTGGTGTGTATAGAGATGTGTGGATAGCAAGGAAGTACTATCTACACTTGTGCATGTACAGCTGATGAGGTTGATTGCAGTATAATGAACATGTTGTACACTATTACAATGCAAACTAAAAAAGTTTGATTGGTATGAAAATATTATTAGGGTATAACGAATTCAGAGAGATTCAAACAGCATCCCCACAACGTCTTAGGTAGAAATCAAGAACCTTTTGCTGAAAGACAAAGCATGTATACAAAAGCCTACCAAACAGAAGAAAATGGATGCCATCTTTTCCTGCAAAAACCTCAAACAAATATAACATTCCACCTCGGGAACATTCCAATGAGTACATGGAGTACGAGTATGAGAACTTCAATAATGAGTAGGCCTGGAATAATTTTACCCATTTATGTATTTAGAATAAGTGACTCAGAAAAAAAATCCTTCCCAATGCTATTTTCGAGTTTCACCTCGTATAGATTGTATATTTTCAATTGCTATTTTCCTAGAAGTTATTTACATTATGTACTTTAGTTGGTGAATTATGTCTTCACAAAAATTGAATTATTGGTTGTGAGACAATAGTTCGTGTCTCGCAGGACGGGTTTGACTGTGCACAAAATGAAATTCCCTTTTCAAAGGGTTGCAGACGCCCAAAATTGGAATAAAGTAGTTTTTTTTTCATTAAAACGAAGATGTACAAAGTCATTACCATAGGAGAAAAAACAAATCCTTTATTTTTTAAGAGCACGGGGTATACATCTTTAATCTCTAAGTCAGGTATCAAAATTACTGTCTAATAAGTAATATCCAACATTTCCCAACCACATAATCATATTATTTGTAAAAAGAAAATATTGATGTCCTGTTTTATGTACTGTTCATTCTGAGATTGTTCTCGTTATTGTCCGGGTAGTTTTTGTGTCTCCAATTTATCCGCTCAAATTTTCTCAAATTTCAATTTGAAAAGATTTGTTTTTCTATCACATTGAGCTTACATAAAAATGTTCACTGCAGTTAGTGCTGCCCTGTTTTCAGAAGACTTTAATTTTTGACGCTGTAATCAAAACTATGTGAGCAATTTCAATTTTTAACTGAGCAGGCTATATTCACAAAAAATGAGTTAACAGTTGTTTGCCAATGTTATAAAAAAATATTGCTGTTTAAATGTCGTTTTGATGCTGTATGAAAATAGATGCAAACAAATTGGCCTAATAGTAATAATAAAATATTCTTCTATATTATCTTCTCTATTTATCTACGCATTTCCAGATAATCTACAGACTTACAGTGAGTTTAGTTTGAACCTACATGTGCCGGTGTTACATGTAGTTACTTTACTCATGATAAACACTTAAAACAGTACAATAAAATTTGACAGAGACAGTTTTTTTGCTTTGCGATTTTTTTTCCCTGTGTACAGGTGTGATTCATTCAAAAGAAAAGAAATTTACATTTTTTACTCAAAGATCCTGGTTAAATACAATGTATTACATACTTACATACACATGTGTACTTGCTGCTAGTGGTGGCACTACACTTTTATTTTACTTTTAATTTTTATAGGGGGATTTCATTTTCAGGTTTTTTGTTGTTGATGAGGAGATTCATTTAATTAATTTAATATTTAGACATAAGATTTTGCAAAACTCACTGTACAATGTATTTTTTTTCTTCATATTTGCCTTCACGGTTTGCATGCTGTTTGTAACAGAATTATGAAGTGTAGTCACTCTCAAAATGACTCAAAACTTAGTCATCAGCACTCAATTGGATGTAGCCTGCCCCTTACTTTAATTTATACATCATTTTCCTTGTTATCTGGTATGAAGCTTGTGTACGGTAACTTAGGATATGAACCTACCTGTTTAATTTCGCCTTCTGCACTGATGGTCACCCCAGCAGGCGAGAAAGTCCCAGTCAATTCTAGAGTCCGAGTAGTGTAATCGCCATTGATGTTGCTATCATACAGGACCACTTCGACCACGGCACGATTGGCCGTGTTGCTCGGGCTACTGCCTGCCCCGCTACCCGCTCCGTCGCCGCTACCAGAATCCGCTGCACTGTCTCCGGCCAGACACACCATCGGCCCGGCCAAAAGCAAGAAACTCAACCAGATCATCTTGGAGGCATTTCTGGGTATACCTTAGTCCGGTTCTCGCGACTGTGGTGGCACGGAAAAAGTGGTTTTGTCGGCCAGTTTTTCCTCCTTTTTTTCGAAGGATAGTGGTCACGTTTTGTGCGTGCAAGTTCCCATCGTAAATACAGCACGATTAATACAGCAGCATATGCATTATGTATTACGGAGCGGCATCCTTTGATGATTGGTCACGTGTCTGCAAGGCGACCTCAACACATGTGGATCGCAAAATTATTTGTTTAGGGGAGAGTGAACTCCCAAAAATGTGATGGCGTTAAAAATCAGTAAATCTACTCATACAAATAGACAGATGCCAACAATGTATGTTACAGAGGTATACTTGATGTCCATTGGAATGAATAAAACGAGCTCTAGTTTGATTTCAGTGACATTCAAATGCATTTTAGTAATTATGCTCCCCTGTACGTAACCGCGTGGGTTCGTCCACCCTATCTTTTTAACAGAAGCCGTGTACCCGTTGTGCTTCAATGATACTTGTGTCGGCTTTTGTGATGTACTTCAAAGACATCTCACTTTCGCCCCCGGTGCATAAGGAAGAGCCCCCCCCCCCCCCCCCCCCCCCCGCACGTACATACACGGAGAAATAAAAATAAAAAGAGGATGCAATTTTTTTTGGTCCGTTTGAGGGTGTGATCAAATACTTCCGATGTCGTATCATATAGCTCCGTGGTCGATCATCTGAGCTTCCAATTCCCCGACCGAAAGGAAAATTCCAGCGCTAACTTCAGGTAGCGGTGAAAAATGAGAAGTTTAATACAATTTCAAATGTTTAATTTATCTCAATTTTTGCGAGAATTGTTTCATAATTTATTTTTGCAAGAAAATATTGTATCAGTTATCCTTATTTACTTTTACATCTTGAGGTAATAAAACCTATTAAAATGAGGGCGCTATTTCCATTTTACACTAGACTGAACAGTAATATGATCAACATTAATCATACTTTTATGGATCTTTTGATGGGAGATTAATTATCCACATGATGCATTAGTTGGTTGCCTTCGGCCATGGCGGAAGTTTCCTTCCTCCATGCTATGGCATAGGCATGTACTGTTAAAATGACACGGAAGGTTACACGTACAGGATATTACGTCTTTATTTGGGCTTTGTAATTCTGAAAAGAACAGTTTCTTGGCACAAATTTTGAAGGCGCTGAAAATGAATGAGAACTTAGTTTTAAGAAAATTGAAGGAACTCTCAAACAATTTGGGGGAATGTCAGACAATTTGGGGAAAATTTCGCAAGATTGGAACAAAATCTTTGGAAAATGCAACAATGCAAACATTTCAGGCCAGTACATTTATTTTTTTTTGGGGGGGGGGGATTTGTAAGTCCCAGAATTACCTCACAATACGAACAATTAATGATCAATACATTAAAAAAATAGAAAAAGAAACTTCCAAAATATTTCTGATAACAAGAAAGGTCATTTTTAAAAGTAAAATTGGCGTCGTCTTTCTTAACCCCAAACCGAAAAAAAAATACCAAGAACGTCAGTAATCTTTTTGAGATATTGCAGATGCAATGGGAGGGTAGCACGTTTGGATAAATATTAAAGAGTTACCAACTCTCCAAATAGCGCCCTCTAATTGTGTCCACCACATCACAAAAACAATGATGAAATCTGGGATATTGTTGTAAGTCCAAACGCAAGCAAAGGACACACAGGGGCGGATCAAGTTTGGATCAATTAGAGGATGGTTAATTTTAGCTGCCAGGGGGGGGGGGGGCATCTAGCTGCCAAGAGGGGGGTAGCTGCAAATGGGGGGGGGGGGGGGTAAGCTGCAAAGGGGGGGGGTAAGCTGCCAAGAAGGGGGATTTCTAGCTGCCAAGAACTTGAAGAAGGGGAGCGGGGTGGGGTTTAGCTTCCAAGAAGGGGGGGGGGGGTTAGCTGCCAAGAAAGGGGGGGGGGGGGGTCTGGCTGCCAAGGGAGGGGGGGGGGGGTCCAACTGCCAATGGGGAGGGGGGGGGGGTAGCATGCATTTACCTTGTTCTGCATTATTTTCCTTTGCCTCCCAAGAGGGGTTTTAGCCCCCCCCCCCTTGAAAGTAAATAGCTTTGATATTTAAATCAATCTTAATTTCCATCTTTAAGGAAGTTAATAATATTACTCCATCAAACATTAACTGTCGTCAGAACATCATAAAATCCACCAGACTGCAAACCGGGCTTCACATCTTAGAAACCCCACCATTCAACAACAACTGTTACCAGTTTTCATTCTACCCCGGACAACTCGCGAATGGAACATCCTCCCACCAGACGTTAGAGCTCAACCTGACATCAAATCATTCAAAGAGAAACTGCATCAAATAAATATGGATGAGCTGTTCCAAAAAACTCATTACAGAATCTAATCACCTCCGCCACACTGACCTATGCGTTATAACCACCATCTGGTGGCGTTTGAAGCAGAAGCAATGCCAACTTTATCTTCCGCTCCAGTAACTTTATTGCAAAACTCTACAAAATGTGGAAAACATACAAAAACTTAATTTGTACCACTTTATCTTTTTGATTCCCATATAAACCATTATACCTCTATAATTCTGATACTTTAAATCGTCTTAAATATAAAGCAACACTTAACATAACAATGTAAAATGTTAACAGTTATGTTTGTTGGTAGTAATCTTCTTGGACTCTTGCCATTTTTGCAAGAAACTTGATGTACATATACAAATAATGTGATCTGCAATTCAAATGCAAGAAACCCTGTTATTGATGGCTTAGGCCAAGTAAATAATGAGAGGTTTGCGGAAACACCATGTGCGAATAATTTCTCAACTAAGAGAATGGTTCTGAAAAGAACCAGAGGTATAACTCGACGTTCCGGTCAGTATGCTCTGACCGTCTTCAGGAGAGAGTGGAATTGAACTTAGGCTACGTGGAATTGAACTTAGGTCAAGTACAAAAAAAAACCAGTTGATCGTCCCCGTCCGCTTCCTTTTCGTTAGGCTGCATCAATTTTGTTTTTATTTTTTTAATTCCAGGCATAACTTTTTAAAAAGATGTTTCAGAAGTTCAGATGTTTCTAATAGCTTTACTAATGTTGAATGAGTTTAAGGTTTTGTGGTCATCAACTAGTAGACAACTGAACTGCTCAGAACTACCAAGTAAAACGGGCCTCCTTCTTTTTAAGGCACATATCGTGTAAGCTAAATATGGCTATTTTAGCCTAATTTTTAATAAAAAATAAAAATAAAAAATCCCTCAACCTCCTTTTTGAAAAAAAAACGGACTATCAGCTGGTTTTTTTTTTACTTGGCCTCAGGTCCCTGAACAGTATACAAATAATGAATGTTTATGAGTGCAATGGTAAGAATAAGTTAATGAGGTGACAGATAGAATGTTCAATTTCACGAGGCGAAGCCAAGTGGAATGGAACATCCCATCTGTCACCGAATGAAATTATTATTTCCATTGCACAAATGTGAAACATTCATCATTATTCATGTTATACAACACCTGAATAAATCCTCGTCATCTGAGTGGTGCATATGTAAGTTGTTAACTGGTGCTATGAATGTACAGCATCAGAGCCATCACAGCTGTGTTATAGCACAATCAATAGTGTGACTATGCAATGGAAGTTTTATTTACGTGGAATTGAACTTCGATTTTTGCGGTGTGGCCACACCGTGCATTGGGACTATTAATTCAATGACATGTGATCGATGACCCACCAATCAGATGACGGGGATTTATTCAGACGTTGTATAAAAGTCAATATTTGATACTGCACAGAGATATCATCGTAACTTTAGCACCAGTTATGAATGGGATATTTCCAAGAACATTCCAACTTTAATATTGCTCATGGCATTTATTTTTAATTAAGTACTATAAATACTCAATTGTAATATTACTTGCAATGATTTCTCAGTCTTTCACTCTCACTGTGTAATTAAATGTGTACTTCTTCATCAATTTAATATTTTTAACTCATTTTCTGTTACAAAAATTCTTGAATAAACTTCTTTGGTGGAAAATGACACTGATTGTAACTGTAGATGCATAGATTAATTGTTAATCAGAGATAAGCTTACTTTTTTAATCATATCTGGAAACAACCGAGGGAAAGGTTACTGGTTACCATCAGAATTCCAGAAAATCATCTTGTAAATTATCTCAAATACAAAAAATGAATACTGCATGAATATAAACATCTGTCTCAATACATAAATAGTACTAGTACCTTTCAACTTTATGTTATGCGCACTATTCATTCAATGTTTCCAGAGACCGTCAGAAAAAGATTCCAAGTTAACTTGGATGGGAATCGAACCCACAACCTTGTGCTTACTGGTGCGACTATCTTGCCACTTGAACACTGTGCACTTTCCAGTGTTGCGGGCTGGTTGGCTCAACCTCAAATCTGATATCATAGCAGCCGGGAGCCACAATCTCTAACAAAATGTTAATTTTTGTGTGTTAAAGTACAACCTTAATACATGTTTGACCCTGGCCACTCATCAGTCTATGTAACTGTCACATAATTAAGACTTTTAGAAAAGATTGACAAGATATATATATTTTTTATACCTGTACACAGTGAGGTACTATAGATCCACTTAAGTGGCGTAGCAAGGTAATTTTTATTGTGGGGGTAAATGTTAAAAGGCACTCGCCCATCCATGCTGAAAGGTAGACGGGTTTTTTCATCAGTCACCCAGCCTCTGTAAAATATAAAAGCAGGGAGGGGAACGGATGATTAGGGGGGGGGGGGGGGTCTGGCAACATCTTCGGGTCATTGTTCACTGCGGACGATCATGGGCACAATTAGACAAAAGGTGGCACTTTCCAAAGCGGCAATATTGCCGAGGTTCGTGCGATGTTCCAAAAAAGGGCACTCTATAAAAAAGGGCACTTGTGAAATAAAGGGCACTCGTTACAAATATTGGGGGTTTGTTGTTAAATACCCCCCAACTTTGTCAGTGTGGTTGTGACTGAATTTGAGCTATCGTTGTCACCTGACCAGATGTCATAATCTGATTGGTCAAAGTGCACTGTTTGATTTTACGTTCTGATTCGCTAACAATCGTCCCTTGAATTCCTTCCTTCAGGATTTGCCGCTCTGTTGTTTGTACTGCTGAGCCAACCTGTAAGCACGTCGCTGTAGGCTCCTGTCGCCATCGTCAATATCGAGCGCAGTCAGGAAACAAGACAACGCTTTCTTGATGTTTCCACTTTCTTGGTGAAGTCTGACAAAAGAAAGCACGGAACATGACATCAATCACTTTGAAATATTAGCAAATTCCACACAATTAAAAATCCTAAATGCCAACATTTTAAAATGGTCCAAATGCGAATATGAAAGATGCATATCATTTTGAAGCTGATCATCTGTATATTATGGAAATACATGTATAGTTTATTTCTAACAAGGTTCAACAATTCGGCTGTTACTTACAACTGAAAAATTAATAAATGGGTACACAAAAAAATCTATCGTCCAGCACTGTGGAACAGCCAATGCAGCTTGATTGGGAGATACAGCCATGCTGGCTCTCAGTACAGACAGATTGAGTTTACCTTCCTCTGCTAACTAGATCCGTGTATCTCTGACATTCCTCCTGACTCAGTGTACTTCCCTCCTCCCCCTCCTCTTCTCCCTCAGGCTCCGCCCCTTCTTCATCCTCCTCACTCTCTTCATATTCCTCATCACTACCGCTGCTCACCTCTGACAACAAGAATGAAACAAATAAATGAGAAAGGCATCAAAGGTCATTCATTTAAAGAAAAATTATGAGATAACACAGGATAAGAATCAATATTAGGTTTTGCCCTTCACCGACGTATACACACTGTTTACTCAGTGTGTTACCTCCCGAGTGAAAGTTGGAAAAAATCACTCGGGTGGGACTAGAGCCCACGACCTCCTGCTTTCTAGCGCAGGCGTCTTACCACTCGACCATCGAGCTTACGAGATTGGTTGGCTGGTTCGAATCTGATGTACATAGCAGCGGGTACCGCATTAACTATTCTTAAGATGGAATGTTTTGCGTTGGGTTGGTGTAAATCAATATTAGGTTTTGCCCTTCACCAACGTATAAACACTGTTTACTCAGTGTGTTACCTCCCGAGTGAAAGTTTAACAAATCACTCGGGTGGGACACACTGAGTAAACGGTGTTTATGCGTCGGTGAAGGGCAAAACCTAATATTGATTTACATCACCCGACGCAAATTCCATCTATTGAATAGGATAAGAAATTAGCTTTAATTTGGTTTGTATACAGGGTGGTCACACTTCCACAATTCATAGACCTACACTATTGATATATATATGGCTAGGAAATTTTGTTGGAAGGAAAATGATACCAAGAACTCCCGATTCGGTCCAGTAGGTATGATTCCAGCGCCATTTTTGTGAACCAAAGTCAGGGGCCCTAATAAGGATTATCCCTGTCATGCACTAATGATTTCAATCCTGGTCATGTTTGTGTTATTCATCCAAGACCAAATAACCCCCGACTTTGGTCAACAAAAATGGCACTGGAATCAAAACTACTGAACCGAATCGGGAGTTCTTGGCGTCATTTTCCTTCCAACAAAATTTCCTAGGTATACATATCAATGGTTTAGGTCCCTGGAGATTGCATTTTTTTGACCACCCTGTATAGCTTTGAGTTTTGTATCAACAATCTGATCTTAGGAATTTCGGCACTGGGACCCTAGACATTCTTGGCACACCTCCTATGAGCTATACTCTGTAATGTACACACGTGCGGTACACTAGGAATTTCTCGGGTTGAGTGCCTAAATTCCTCTTACTGGAATTGATCCATCTCGTTTACGGAGCCCTCTACTGTAGTGGATGCATCAGGGCAAATTAAATCAATTTTTTTTTTTTTAATGGGCAAAGTTTTCTGCGCAAACAGTCGTGTAATATTTAATTATATGAGGAAATGCAAAACCATTTGATTGATGAACAGATAACATGGACACAGTACATGATCTAGAAATTTGTAATCTTACCGTCACTGTAGTCCTCGTCATCATCATCGTTGATGAAGCTGTCTTCATATTTGTCATCTTCACTGTCGTCATCATTTTTGTGAAGCTCATCTTGATTGACATCAACCCCTGCCTCCTCTTCTTGCTCTTCCTCCGTAACATCACTATGAACATCATCATCATCGACATCACTCTCGGCAATATTCCCATCATCTTCCAAATCTCGCTGCTTCTTACTTCCATCATCTAAATTGCTAGAATCTTCCAGGAGTGAGGCATCTTCCTTGTCTTGGATGGAATCATCCATTTTCTCATCCTCACTCTCCTTGATAACTCGTCTCCTCCTGGTCGACGCCACAGCAAAATCCTCATCATCTTCCAACACTGGTTGCTTCTTGCCTCCATCATCTAAATTGTCAGAATCTTCCAGGAGTGAGGCATCTTCCTTGTCTTGGATGGAATCATCCATCTCTTCTTCCTCACTCTCCTCAATGACCCGTCTCCTCCTGGTTGATGCCACGGCAACATCCTCATCATCATCCAAAACATGTTGCTTCTCGCTTCCATCATCAGAGTTGTTGGAATTTTCCAGGAGTGAGGCATCTTCCGTAGCATTGATTGACTCATACATCTCCTCTTCCTCACTCGCCTCAATCACTTGTCTCCTCCTGGTTGACGCCACGGCAACATCATCATCAGATTCCTCATCCCCTACATCCTCGTTGCCATGGTTACCACCTCCTGAATGTTCATCTCCAGATGCCGCACTCATGCTGGTCATGCTTTGTTCGAGTTCTGACATCCCCTTCTCTTCGTTTGAATAATTTTCCTCATTTGATTGCTCCATGCTACCTTCAAGTTTTTTAATCGCATTTGCATCACTCGTTCTTTTGGAGGTTTTGGTGTCATCAAAGGAGAGCTGGCAAGTTACATTGACAGCCTGCTCACTTTCTTCATACCCTCTGAAACCGCCATAGTTTGCAGAATCTGAGTTATAACGGAAGGATCTAGCACTGCTGCTTTGTGTCCCACTGACCTTCCCTTTGCCTGGCTCCCAAGCATCATCTTTTTCTTCCTCGGCAGTTGGCCGAGGGTTTGCTTTCAAAACTGATGTATTTTCAGGGGAGCTTGCTGATGATTCATCGTGAATCATTGGTGATAAGGCCACACTCCTCTGCTCAATTTCTGGAGACATATCACAGGTGCCTTGCAATGTTGAGCCTGGTCTACTGTCAGGTGATTCAGGACATGCAGATGCCTTCTTGTCGCTAGGAATCGAGCCGGTGTAATCTTGTTGGAAATCTTCCTCTTCTGCGGATTCCATGTAATAATCCGAATCCACGTTTTTCTCCAGTTCACCAACCTCTGTTGCCGTTGAGATGGGTCTGGGTGGACTATCAGGCAGCAGTGATTGCCGGCTGGCAGCCAGTGGGGACGTAGCGATGGTCCTTTGTTCAATCTCCTCAAAGCTTTGAGACATGTCGGCATCAGAATCCGTCAGATCGATGACAGAGATTGGCGTGGGAGGGATCTCTTGGATGCTGTCATCAGCCGAGTTGTCACGGCAACCCGGAGATCGTCCCTCACTCTGAGGAGTTTGAGAGATGCGACTCCTTTTGTAGAGGGATTCTTTTGGAGTTGTAGCGAGCCGTTTAAGTCGAGCTTTTTCAGACTCTGTTGACTGATCCAGACTAACTCCTTCCTCTTCTGTAGGCTGGCCTAAGTCTTGAGCAGATCTGTCACTATCTTCCAACATCTTCAGCTCATCTTTGACATTGACTCTCTTGTTCTCGAACCGAGGACCAAAAGATAACTCACGTGCCTCTGGGTTCTCGGTGAAGTACTCGGATGTCTCAGTAGAATCGACCTCTGACCTCAACTGGGGTGACGTTGTGACCTCGGAATCAGAATCCTCAATGGTGCCCAGATCAGACTCGTTTCTCCGGACAGCAGCTGCTGCAGACCGGTTCCCATCCTCGTCATCCGAGTCTTCAATACAGATGACACTGGCACCCTGTGCACTTTGGGATGATGGGGGTCTGTCCGACTGGTTGACATTGCGTTGACCCTGGTGTCAAGAAAAGATTAAAAAAAAATTGTCAGGCATGACAAAGCACAAAGATCATTGATTAATTTTCTTAAACTCAAGTCAAAAAATGTCGCTGGTTTCCATGGCAAAAATGGTTTGAAGCTTCTAGTTTTAAGAAAGTCAAGGAGTTCCATAACAAAAGCACATAATAAACACTGGTGCGATACACTCTGTAAATTAACCAGTAGAGGACCACAAGACAGGTTAACTAAATAACAAAGATGCGGTTACCTTGGTAACCTTAGACTGCGCATCAATGTCTTGCTCCTGTAAGGTCATATTGGCCATAGACATGTTCAAGTCTTCTTGCTCTTCTTGTTCTTCATCCTCTGATAGTTCCTCCTCTGATTCACCTAAAATGCAGAAAAGCAACAAGAACATTTCTGTTATATGATTATCCTAATTCCCTGTATTGTGTCTTCTTGCACCTTCCAAAATCCAGATGAATAAAAATGTAAGCTAGCATTAAAGGAAATGTACATCATTGGCTTTTGCTGTAATTTTCAGAAATGAACTATTTGAGGGGTTAGTATAATAGATCAAATATTGTTACACTGACATGTTTGAAGTTTTGTGTTCGAAAAGGTTGGAAAAACCAAGAAAAACAAAAATGTTCAAGTAGTCTGGTTCCCCGACTCCACAAAAGATAAAATGGATCAATTTATAGATGATGGAAAATTGTAAGGCAAGGGAACCAGTCTAGCTGGCCTGCACCCGTTCATGAACATGTAACCAATAGCAAACAATATTTGGACTGAAAAAATGGTAAATTTGGAGCAGTAGTTGAAAAACAGTTAGGTTTTTCCAACGCTGGTCGGCCGACCACCGTTGGAAATGTATACAAAAATACCATTTTCTTGAAAATGACTTCACACCAGGTGCCATAATTTTACAAGATGCTTGAGACTGTCATTTACCAACATCCTAGTAAGGTATTTCGTAAAAACTTGGTAGTTTTATTTTTTGATGCTTGCAAATGTTGTATATTCCCTTTAATCCAATAGAATCCAACATCTACAAAAAACAAAATAGCCCGAAGTTATTTCTTTGACAAAAAACCCAATCAGAATTGTTTCCAATGTTGGAAAAAAAAATAGGATATTGTTGGATTAAGCTTGTTTAAGGAAAATTTATATACACTTTACAAAAATCTCAACGGCTTCAAAGCAAAATAGAATCAATGTGCTTTGAATGATCAGTAAAGCTAAAGACAGTGGGTGATACGGACTACAACATAAGCTGAAAAATACTTTTTTATTTGAAAAAAAAAAAAACCGAAGTAAAGTATGAAATTTTGGAAGGACTGTTTGAGAATGTATGTAATTTGCGGTAGCACCATGTAAATGTTGTAAACTCTCTTTTGTGACTGTGTGTGGTTCTGAAAAGATCCAATTTTTGTAACACTGTTTGAGGAGTAAGCAAATTTTTGTTTCACATAATTGTGTGTGAAGCACAAGGTTCATTAGTGATCTATTCTTTCTTCCATATTTTCTTTTTAGCAATCTGCTTGCTAAACCCTAACAAACTAGTGGTGATAACCTGATTTAACTAGTTGAGCAGCAATGATCACTAGTTGATGATCAGTCTTTGAGAATTCCAACTATGTTGGCACATGACAAAAGATGTAGCCACATTTTCACTCTGTCCGTCTAGCAATCTGCCAAACCTGATTCAACTAGATATAAACTGGTCATAAATGAATAAAACTGCCGTTTACTTGGTGATCTATTCTTGCGTTCGTAGTCATCCCGTCTCTTATTGAATGCTGGTACATTGACTTCCTGGCCCAGCTTAGCTGCGTGATCTAGCAGCGTTTGCCTGTTGTCGTACTGTCGATGGTGGCGTAGCATGCTGCCTGGTTCCTGCGTGTCTTGCAGAGTTTGCTCGCGGAGTTTCTGGGACAAGTCAGATTCTGCTGAGACGAGTTCCTTGGCTCGGGTCACCTGATTTGAAAAAAGGCCGAGTTTGTTGGACGATTACGACAAACAGAAGCTGATTGGCAAGTAGATTTGTTGCCTGATCTCATGCATGCATGTGAGGACCCGCAATACCCCCAAATAAACGATTCTGATATTGTGTTGGATATTATGTGATTACTGGGCTGGTTTTCCACCATTACTGGGACGCTCCAAAGCTTGCTGCAGTAATTCACACAATGCACTCCCCTTGAGTGATGTGTTCAGAGCTTTACAAAATGCACGTGTGAGGGGCATTCAGGTATGGAAGCCTCCCAGTAATAGCTACCAGAACCATCATCATAATTTCAAATGGGATTGGTGTATATCTTAATTACATTGACCCCACATGAGAGGTCATCAGGTCAATAACGCATTGGCCGTCCTCTGACTCTATAACATAGGGTGCATTCGAGTAGCTCACCCGGATCGACTTGGGTAGCTCTGACATCATTCTCGGGGCTCACCCGGGTCAGCCACCACAGACCCTGTTCGAAGTCTAAAGGTAATTATTTATTGAGTTTATTGCGACTTTAGAGGCTATAATTCCAGCCCAACTTCTTTGAGTTTTGCAAATGACTGAAAAGCAGTAAATCTCAGACAAGACCCAATCCGAAACGGATGTTTTGTCAGTGGCTACAACCACGGCTAAGGGCGTCACGTGGGGATCGTGATGGCCCGCAGTTGAGCGTTGGATTAGCCCGGCTGTCATGGCTGACCCGTCTGCCTGTACCCGAGTCGATCTGGGTGAGCTACAAAATGTATTCAAACGCACCCTAAGTGAGATGCTGAGGCTTAGTTCAGACTACTTGTTAAAGTGTTGATGCAGAATGTAAGGCTTAGCCAAGTAAGTCTGATGCAGCCTAATATGAGACGTTTCATGACAAGCGCCCTCTGTGTAAAGACTCACCCTGTGTTGTACGTATTCGGCTGCCTGTTCTTGATCTTCTTTATTTTCCGTGTCAGCCTCTTGGGAAAACATCAAGTCGTGATCGCTGAGACCAAACATGTCTAGGAATTAGAGAAAGCAAGAATGTGATGTGTTATGTCGATCTGGATGAATTTCTATCAGTAGAGTTTATTATTGACTCCGTGCACAAGCCTCTCACTATAGAGAGAGTTGGGGAGAGTACTGGGAGGGACGCAAACGCATTCCCTCTGCGACCAATTTCATGGGCACACAAATTTGCTGAGCACAAAAAAGTCTGGCTTATAAAAGCAGGTTACCAGCCAAAACTTCATGTGATTTTCATGCTAAGCAAACAATAGCTGAATACCAATCACAAGCAATATACATCGCATGGAAATTTGGTTGGTAATCCTGTTTTTGCCGAGGAAGACTTGTCATGCGAAGCAAATTTCTGTGCTTAGCAGCTCCATGAAATTGGCCCAGCATGGCACTCAGGCAAAAGGGTGCACATTCGGAATAAAATAAGCCATATGTGACCTACTGAGGCAAAATGAGGAATGTCCCCCAAAACCTTCTTCTGAGTAATCGACGCCTGAAGTCGGATATACGAGACAAGTCAGGTCCAAATCAATATGGATTGTTTTGTATTTTTGAGTAGCCAAGGTATCCAAGATATACACTAAGCATTTTTGTTGGGCAAAAATACCCATAAAAGTGGAAAAACTAAAGACATTTTTCAATGCCATTGGCAGCGCAATGCGTGTCTTTTTTTTTTTTCAAAGCCGTTTTTCTGGAAATGACGTTAGAGAAACTTGGCAGGACACTGTTGAAGTTCCTGCGTCATATCTTTGGAATAAATTAAGCTACAGAAATAAATTTGGTATCATTGGAAAGACAATGATTTGCGCTTTAACATGATGTACACAATGGGAAAAGTCAAAGGTGGGGGTTATTCCTCAGTATGCTATGGCAGGTCACATATGTACTTTGCACCAATAAGCATGCGCACAAGGTGATTCCCTTCCACTGGGGTTCTTGAAAGTGGTCGCTTAGCGCCCTCTCTTGTTCATTCATGGAGGTCATCCATCTGGCATTAGTTAGTTTCTCTATGTATAGCTGTCAGTCATGAAACATAGACTAAGTGTTTACCTAGTGAGTACATGAATGCTATGTGTTCATCTAGCGCTGTGTCTGTCTTTCGTTGCGCTGCGTGCATCTCTTCCAGCGCCTGCTGGGTGGTCGATGTCTGAGGGTTGTCCAGGATGAACAGGTCTCTCAGCTCTTGACGAGAGAAGTAGCTGAAGGAAAGAAGGAAAGGAAACATATTCAATAACCAGTAAAAAAAGTCATGATTTAAAATTCAAGAGACAACAGAATAAAATCAGAATAAAACTACGGCTAGAAAGAAAAATTATAAACTCGGATCTAGCAAAATAATGAAAATTACTACTTTTGATTGCCCGAAAACGGACCTACCAATTTCATGAGAAAATCCTTGCTCAAATTGAAGATAGATGGTACCAAATACCCTGTGAAATTATTCTGCCTGAAACTATATCATTCAGAAGAAACGGAATCCAGTTGTGAGACCCCAAAATCGTGTATATGTTCTCTCTTTTTTTCCTCAAAATTTATAGTATCCACTGAGCTGAGACATCCACAGGTTGTTTGTTATTTTGTTTTTTCAAACAAACAAAAATGCACGGAAAGAAAATAATCCTGCGTCGCTTTAAATGCAATTACTGATATTGGACTTTTATCCTCAGAATCAGTCATTATAGAAATCACAAACAAAGTCCAGCATTATATAGATGATTTGAGAGAATTCTCAATAATTTTAACGAGACAATTAATTTACAACAGAGCTGATGTTTACAATTTTCCTTCCAACAACCAAAATAATATTGAATGTTTTTGGAGTTTTGATTTACCGATAAGGATTTTTGGATGTTCCAGTTGCCTGTTTAGTCAGTGAATCCTTGAAGATCTGTCGTCTATATATCTTCTCTTCCACCGTGCTGCAAGTGATGAGTCGATAGATGACTACAGACCGTGTCTGACCGATTCGATAGACTCGATCTACAGCTTGGCTGTCAGTGGCAGGGTTCCAACTTGGATCAACTATTAAACAATTCATAATTGAATTACACAGATTTTTTTCAAGGCAACATGATGTATCAGCTTTACACTGACATCGCCAATAATATTTCAGAACAAGGAAATTGCAAACAAACAAGATTTAATATTGAAGCTGCTTAAATTTCTATCACCTTTTACAATCATCATTATGGTAATATGAAAGTGGAATTAATGTTAAATTGAACAATTTGATAAAATAAAGTAGGGGTGTTTCAATCTGAAAGGGAGCCACATTAAAAGGTGCTCTTTAATCAATGCAATAATGAACAAAAGTTGACTTCAAACACTTGCAAAGAATGTCGAAATGTGTTTAACTTTTGTGAACGTGACAAGATTTAATAGTGAAGCTGCTTAAATTTCTATCACCTTTTAAAGTCATCAGTATGGTAATATGAAAGTGGAATTAATGTTAAAATGAACAATTTGATAAAAAGTAGGGGTGTTTCAATCTGAAAGGGAGCCACATTAAAGGCTGCTCTTTAATCAATGCAAACATAAACAAAAGTTGACTTCAAACATTCGCAAAGAATGTCGAAATGTGTTTGACTTATGTGAACGTGACATGGGAATATGTGCTGTCGAATCACAAATTTATATTCTTCATCACGTTGTTCACTTTGGCTTTGGGATTGCGATCTTGTCTTTGTGTTCAACATATAAAGTTGATCAGACCACACTTATTAGTGCGACAGAAACAGTGGCTTTCAACTTTGAAAAGTTCATAAGCTTCAATCACTTGTTTGAATCACTATGCCAGTCGAAGCCATCAGCAAGGAACTTACATATGACGACCCGATCTGCCCCCGTCAGTGTCAGGCCAACTCCACCCACTTGGGTAGTGAGTAGAAAGACAGACAAGTCGTTGTTCCGTTGGAATGAGGTGATTCGTTTCTCCCTGTCTTCCAGCTTGGTGATGGTGCCATCCAGCCGCATCACTTGGAAGTTCTGAAATCGGGGATCAAGGTGGTCAAGCAATATCCTAGATTTTCATTTTTTTTTCATGGAACCCCAATTTTGGAACAAAAGCAAAGTTTGGGATATGGCCATGGGTACCTGGTCAGCTCAATCCAAAAACACATATAAAAGCATATCCCTACTACCATCTTCAGTAGTTCATGAGCAGATCTGATAAACTCCGTGCACAAGTAACCCCCCCCCCCTTTCAACGGTTACAAATGGAGAGTTGGGGGAGACCACTGAGACGCACTGCCGACAACGCCTGAGTGTTCTTGTAAGAGGGTACAATGTACATGTGGGATACTGAGATGGCGGTTTCTGTGAAACAGCCTATGTAAGTACCAAAAACTGCCCATAAGCCCCAAATTTGAGGTTGTGCGCACGCTGCACGAGTTCTAAAGGACGAGGCGTGCGCGCATTATGTTAACCCTGTTGGTCAAAGGAGCGCAAAGTGTGTAAATACTACCTGAGCGCGAGACTGGTTTCACCTCAAACTTGGCTTCTAATTTTGTTCACAGAATTAGTCTATAGAGCCAGGCACCTTTTTTTTTACGGAGTCCTTTAAGCACCCACCTGATTGTTCAAGACTTTCTCAATGATGTCCAGCATCTTGCGTGACTGGCTGAAGACCAGCGTCCTGTGTCCTTCCTGCCGGAGGTTGGTGAGAAGACGGATGAGGAATTGTAGCTTACAAGACTCCATCATCAAGACGTCGTCTGAGATGGCCTGGATGGCTGCGTTGCTCGTCTGGTTCTTGGATCTTGGCGTCTCTTGATCGTCATCTTCGTCTGCCCTGCAAGGAGAGATGCAAAACAGATTTTGTTGGTCGCACCCATTTTCAGGTCTTTCTAAGCCTAGCTGTATGCAGGCTCTGGCAGGCAAAAACTGAATGAGATCACAACACTATGATCTTACCATGTAGTATCAGGTCTTTCTAAGCCTAGCTGGATGCAGGCTCTGGCAGGCAAAAGCTGAATGAGATCACAACACTATGGTCTTACCATGCAATGTCAGGTCTTTCTAAGCCTAGCTGGATGCAGGCTCTGGCAGGCAAAAGCTGAATGAGATCACAACACTATGATCTTACCATGTAGTATCAGGTCTTTCTAAGCCTAGCTGGATGCAGGCTCTGGCAGGCAAAAACTGAATGAGATCACAACACTATGATCTTACCATGTAGTATCAGGTCTTTCTAAGCCTAGCTGGATGCAGGCTCTGGCAGGCAAAAACTGAATGAGATCACAACACTATGATCTTACCATGTAGTATCAGGTCTTTCTAAGCCTAGCTGGATGCAGGCTCTGGCAGGCAAGAGCCGTGGATGATCACAAAGCTTCTTCAATATCGTCAATTCCACTAACGGTGAGCGGCTTGTCATAAGAAGCTAAGGACAACAAGAATAGAAATTGTAATTAATAAAAAAAATCACTCTCCTGAAAATATAGGACATTTTAAAGGACAGTGGGGGGCATTCCTTTAAAATGGTCTAGTACAAAATTTGGCTTAGCACAAAAATATCTGCTTAGCAAATATAGTTAGCAGGCAAAATTTAATATTTTGAAAGTAATAGACATGGAAAATAATAGAAAACGTTGAAAAAAATCAGTGTTATCAGCAAGCAATGCATTTGTAAACTGACTCAACAATAAAGCACCTTAACTATTTTTAAATATAATTTTGCTGAAGTATCTTCAATTACATGAGTTTGATCGGAATGACATAATAGATTTTCTGACCTCCTTGACTTGGTCCAGTGAGATGAAATCCTGATAGATTTTGATCTGGGCTTCTGTCAGGGAAAGCCATATCACAAAATCATTCTTCCTGGTAAGTGTCGGGAACTCTGGCACCCTGTGGAAATAAAATGGGAAATTGACCAAAATTGATGATTAATAGTCTTTTTTTATGATATGGGTTATTTCAGCATTATGACAGGAAGTGTTATGTCCCTGACAGAGCCAATTAGCCATGATATCTAATTAATGATTCAGAGAAATGATCCAAAACTCCTAGTCTGTAATCTCCTTGACCATTACTAGATGGTGGATGTAGAAGATTTGTAAAATGCATTTTCTAGTTCATTCACCAAGCTCTTCAAAGCTCCGTTAAGGACATTACATAACGATGAAATTGCCCGTGTGTTATAATTGTAAATGTACAAATCTTTAAAAAAAAAAAAATTAAAATATACCTGCCAAAGGTGTTTTAAATACAATCAAAATGGAGATCAGTTATTCAGTAACTTTACTCAGTTTGACTAACTGAAAATCAATAAAAAAGGAAGGCATCCTCACGTAAGGAGCAAGAGAAACACTACTTTAGCAAAAGCCCTAGAAAATTCTAAGATCGAATTTCTTTCACATGGAATGGGATGAGCACAAAGATGGATGCTCTTAGTGAAAAAAGTTACGACCAATGTTCTGAAAAGAAATGAGCAAGAAATCGGCTATTGAAACTTTTAATAGTAGCATATTTTGTTTTTACCAACAGAAATAAAGCTAAATCGGTGCAATTGATTGAAACAGTAATTGGAAAGGAAAGTCTGATCAAAAAAACAATCATTGTATACTTTGGAGCCTATGGCAATCCACCAGATACCCTGTACCCTGTTCCCAGTTCATGGATTACTCCAATTTGACGCCCTCACTTGGCTGTCGTAGTCCAACTACATACTGCCCTCTACAGTTCAAACACAGAGCCACTAGCTAACCTCTCATTCTCCTTGTCCGCTTCATCCTCCTCCTGAGGATTCTTGGAACTTTCTTCTCTCCGTTTGACGACGTCGGCCTTCGTACGTCTCAGGAAGTACGGCGCTATCAACTCACGCAGACTCTCTGCCATCTGGTTGCCTAGGCAACGCTCACCCCCTGTCGCGTCCTTCTCTCTCGCCTTGACAACCAAACAAAAGATAAAATGTCACAAAAACATTACAATTCTACTTTTAAACATTTCAACAAAACTGGAGCAAAAACAGATGAACTGTGGCATAACCTTACTCACAGGGCAGTTTAGTGACTTAGGACCTGCACTTCGATTCATATCCGGGACGACTTCCAGACAATTTGCGGGTAGAATCATTCCATGGTCCAGAAGAAGCCCTGCATTTGTCCCAGACATTAGCAACTGCTTGACTCACCAATACTGATAATTTCATTGCGGGAAGATTGCGGGGAAGTTGTTCAGAATCCTGCAACTTATACCCGATACAATGTCTGCAACTTGACGGGAACTCGTCCCGGATATTAATTGAGAAGGGCCCTTCAATAAGCTTAATTAAGTTCTGATATCAATTACAGGAAGTTTAAATAATAATAATAATAATAACACATTCTTACATAGCGCATTTCAGGACCGCCAGAGCTCACAATGCACTTTACAATTCATATAATATGTGTTTTAAGGCTGCTCTTAAACGAAAGTGAGAAATCTGATTGAATAAAAGGAAAAAAGCAACTCACCCTTGTGATGGGGTTGGCATATTCTGAGTTGAATGTCTGGACAGTTCCCAGCAACGTGCCTTGGGTGACAAAATCAAACAGAGCCCACAGCTCCTGTACAACAATTTGAAATTTTCAATTAGTTGAAAATAAAAAAAATGCTTGCAGCCAATTTTGTAGTTGCTACAATGAAGACATGCATGTTACACACCTTTGGTGAATACCTTGTGTATAATACTTTTCAGAGTGAGGCTACTGTGGTAAGCCCGGTTCATACTTCACGCGAAATCATGTGCGAAGCGAAATTCATGTCGTCAACAATGGTGGACGCGCTTCAAATGTATTGTTGACGTCACAAATTTCGCTTCGCTTTCGCATGAAGTATGAACCGGGCTGTATAGTCTTTTACACTTAATAGAGGGAATATCCTGTGAGAAGCTCTCTACCAATCAGGAGACAGAGTCTGGTGTTATAATAAGGGAATAAATATGTGCTTCTCTGGTTGTAAACAAGTACGTTTTAGACTAGCTCAGGGTACTGGATGCGGATAATGGCCCGAGCCAAAGGCGAGGGATATTATCGGCGACCAGGCTCCGGAGCCGGTTTTAAACATACTTGTTTAATACCAGCCAAGCACATATTCATTTCCATTCATAAATGCATTTGAGTCAAAAAGTCAAAACAAGTCAAAACTTATATAATTCCAACGATTTTGTTCAACAATTTTACTTTTCGGTGTTTTTGAAACACCCCTCAAGCCATGTTATAGTATGTACTGCTCGCGACAAGTCAGAAACATCTACTTATAAGGACATTGGCGCATGTGTGGCTCGTACTGAGTGATGTGGCGCAAAACGCGGCAGTGCCGGTGTAGTGTGAATTTAGGACTCTCGAAGCACGGACTCATTGGTAGTATTGTGCATGTCTAAGTGAAGATTGTGAACGTTCAACCAATAAAAGGGTAAAGGGACCAGATTTCATAAAAGTGTTAAGACCAGCCAGTCGGTGTTTTCGTTTGAAACCACCCACTTGACGGGCTCTCAACCACTAGGAATGGGTAAACTGTCTTAGGTGTTTATGAAAGACGATTACTGCAGTGGTAACAGCGTCGATTGGTTTTCCTATGAATTAATACCCAGCCTTAACATCCATTAAACCTAACCCTGCCAGACACAACACAGTGCATCAGGTGTAAAAGTCTATGGGACCTTGCTGCATTGAGCCATCAACACCAGTGCATAAACGGCCGATTCTGAGACAATGTGAGCTAATCCCACTAAACAATGCCATCGTTGTATCCTGCTGCAGTCGGTGACCACAGACTCTGAGGCAGTTAGCCCTTGAGATATGTGACCTGATGGATCTTGCTACACCGAGCAGATTTCTCATTTTGACAATATTGCACACATGGATTTGGCAGGGTTTCATGATAATGGCTATTTAGAGTCAAGCGATCTGGAATTCTGGAAATGCTAACTCTCGATCTGCCATTAATTCTGAAATTCCAGTAACATAATTCACATATAAACTGTACCTTGAGGTTATTCTGAATCGGTGTGCCCGTCAGAATGAGTCTGTGTGTAGCAGGAACTCGGTGAATTGCCTTGGTGGTTTTACTTGGGTTCTTGATCTTATGGCCTTCATCCAGAATCACGTAGTCCTGAAAAATATATATGAATTCCAGAAAAATACAACCTATCAAAGAATAAAAAGTAGTGATGCTTCCATTGCTTTGTTAAAGTTAAAGACCATAAAGATGACACTTTGATTGAAAAAAAAAAAAATTAAATCACCATTTTTCATGGCTTTCTCTGGAGCATATTGCTCAACTTTAAAAAAAACCCAAATCTCAGCACTGACAGTTTGTCCAGAACGGGCGGTTTCTTTTGAGTTTTTACATTGAGGAGACCGCGAATTCCAGCGAACGCAGAGCACAAAGTGACGATAGTTTCGATATTTCTATATGATTAAAAAATCGGCGATATCGATATCAAAATAATATTGAATAATCAAGTAATATCGATATATCGATGGTGCTTAAGGCCTACAACTCATAAGTAGTTCTGACGAGTTATGACCCATTCTATTGGGTTGGTTCACAAATGGCAATGCCACATATTTTCTTAACGTCCTTACCCAAGTGAAGGGGTTACCATGATGATGTGATAGCAAGTCGGCATTGGTGAGTACCAGTCCATAGCTGGTTAGCATGACGCCGCCTCTACGCTGGACCTTAGCTAACGCCCGCTCACGTTCACGTTTGCTGCTGCTGTGATAGGACTCCACAAAGACTCCTGGAGACCTGGAGGCAAAAAGTAGGGCAGGAAAATTATTGTTTAATTCAGTATCGTGTCAATCTGTACTTCAGACTGGTGGATAGGGATGGGTATGCTACAACATGGACCCTAAAAACGACTGGCACATTAGGCCAGTGACGTAGTCGAGTCCATCACAAGTCCCTGCAAGTCCATCACAAGTCCATCACAAGTCCATCACAAGTCCATCCCAAGTCCATCACAAGTCCTTCACAAGTCCTTTAGTCCCAATTCAAGCCAAAAGCTATTTAAATGAACTGTTACAGAGGATTCCTTTGTCATTGTTCATCCAGGTACCTGTGACTGGACTTGTGGCTGGACTTACGAAAGGATTTGTGACTGGACTTGTTAAAGGACTTGTGATGGTTTAGGTTCAAAAGTTGTAATTTAAGAGTACACAATTTTTCTGAAAGTTTCTCTGTCTGTGCTCTACAGCATATTCAATTGTTTTTCTCCTAATTTTTTTTTTCAATTTGTAAGTTTAATTAAAACATAAAAAAGTACTTTTTCTACTTTGGACGTTTTCAAATGTTCAAAGTAGCTTTTGTTTGGGGTTGCATTTGCGCTCATAACGCACCGAAAAGATATGGGTGCATTATTGTCAAGCTACAAGTAATTCAAAATTGTGTAATAGCCTAAGCACAGCACAGTTTAATCAATTAATAAAGGAACACAATGTAATACAAATTACTACATGTGCTAAAAGGTTAATTAGGTATTTGTTCTAACCACTTCTCAAATTCTTTCTCCCAGTTGATGATGAGCGCTACTGGAAGGACCACCATGACTGTCTTGACTTGATCCAGGTAGAACAGGCCACTCAGGAAGGAGATGACTTGGATGGTCTTACCAAGACTGAAACATCAATCAGAAAAACGAATTAGTAAAGGAATTAAATCATTCCTTAGGATCATTTGCTTTTTTATTGCAATTTTTCCCCGTTTGAAGCAAACTTAATTGCTCAAATTCTTGAGAAAGATGCACAACTAACAAAGTTTCAACTCACTGGACCCCGGTGCTTTACTCCTTGAGAAAACAGAGTAACCTTATCCACAGTAAACGTTTGCAGTGTAAAAAACTGTGTCCGCGGGCACACTTTCTTAAACCACCTTCAATGATGGTTTTCTTCCAAATCACACCATTTCAGGCGGACTAATTTCTCAGGGTATTTTGGGGAAGTGGATTAACAACTGATAGGTGCATCACGCTGGATCACCAGCCTGAAAAAAATATATTAAAAAACACAATCACATCACATATCTCCCTTTGTCCTTCTAAAAAACAGGACCGGAAAATAGATGACAAAATAAATGGCAAATGTCATACTACCAGAAAAGAGTATGACAAAATTCTGAGATTCAAACATAGATTCAAACTTGGATTCAAAATTTCATCGAAGGCAGAGATTACAAATCCAATCATCCTGTTTTTTGTTGATTCTATGGCAATCTAATAGGGTTGAATACGAAATTTAACAAGCAGTTACCCGAGGTTTACCCAAGGTTTACCCGAGGTTTACCTGAAGTTTACCCGAGGTTTACCCGAGGTTCACTTGTTTTATGAGGTTTTACAGGGTACCTATGGGTTCAACCTCAAATTACCAGTACCACTAGTTGAATTTTACATTCTTCCCCAATGCCTTACCCCATATCATCTCCCAGTATTCCACCCTTGACCTTCCGATGTAACCTCCAGAACCACATCAGTGCTTCTCTCTGGTAGGAGTACAGCTTGTTATACAGTTCTGTGTGAAGGTAGAACCCTTTACCAACGTGATGCACTCCGCTGTCTTCTTCTGATTCCGACTCGGATCCGTTCTCTTTCAAAAATTCCTGAACAAAAGTGACAGCAAAGATTTAACTGTCACCGCTCATTCACATCGCATCAAACCCAGTCCAATAAACCACATACAAAGCCTCTAGTTTGCATTAATGTTGTGCAAACCCGACCTGAAACCGACCCAACCAGACTTGAAACCCATTTCGGGATGGGTCGGGTAGGTTTTTCCATCATTTTCAGTCTAGCTTTTGCGATTTTCGGTTGGGTCAGGTCGGTTAAGCCATCTTGTGAAAAACTCAAAATAAACAAACAAAAAACGAAACCCTTTGAAACTTCACGCAGTGCTATACTATTGCAGAGTTACTGTGACAGGTACGATCAACGTCAACCCACCACAGGAATACATGAATGTGATTTGCGGTCTATCACGCACAGTCTATAATGTGTAGGCCCACCAGTAGTCTTAACAGTACTGTATGGTACGATTCTGTACTGACAGACGATTTTCACACGACGCGTTTAAGTTCAGACACAAAAAGTGGACACAGTTGCCCAAGCATGATATTCGTGGGTATTCCGGTTGGTTCGGTTTCGGTCGGTTCAGTTTGGGTCAGCTTTTGCTTGAAATTTTGTTGGTTTGGGTCGGATTAGGAGCAGTTCAGATTGATTTAGGTTCGGATTCAGTTAATATCTGTAATGTTTTAGGTCGGTTTAGCCTGGTCAACCCGACTCGATGCACAACATTAGTCTGCATATGATGGTTAAAGCAGCACTGTCAAGAGAATGCACTCTTTTAGGCTCCAAAAAGTGTTTACCATGAAATGATCATAGTTGGAAAGACAGTTCAAAAGTAGAAGATGAACGTTCTTAAATCTTGTGCTGTTTTCGTGTAATTACTGCGTAAAGGAATTTCAGGGTACAAAATTTTGGTCCTCACAAATCAAGCCGTTAGTGTTAGAGCGCTATTGTAATACCGCTCTGTTGACTGGTTGACAACTGTGAGTTTCTAAGCTCTCGATTGAGCGGGAAGCAGTGAAATGTGTGTCGATACCACAAAATGCCCGGATAACCATACAACATCAAAAAACGATATTGTATAGTCATCCCAGTCCTTTTTCCGAAAGTGTACAATACACTGATTTATTTTTAATACTTGGAAGCTTGATAAAAATAATAATTCAGGTCAGACAAAATTATTCAGAAAAAGAAGCAAACACAGTATTTTATTCATGAAGAAGTTAGCAGGTTTCTGAGGGTTTGATTTTCCTTGCATGTGTCATGTGGTTCTTGCAGTGTAAAGGGTTTTCAGATTCGGTGCAAATTCCCAGGGAGTTGGCGGTTTTACCTCAATCCTTGCAATCCTCTTGAGGACTTTCTCCGTCCTGACAATCTTAGCTGCTTTGTTGAGTAGCTTCAGTGAATCCCGGGGGTGCCCCTCCTCTGCAGCTTTGCGGGCTTGCTTCATCAGTCGCGTGTATTGCTGCTGGTCCTCCATGCTTGGCTTCATGTGGCTCCCCTTATCGGGGGTGTTGCTTATTTCTATACACGTATTTTATTTTTTGAAAAATGAGAAAAACTTCTTCATACTTCAAAAAAAAATAAGGCCTTGGATTTTTTTGTAACTAAAATCTGTCAAAATCTGGTAGTGCTTTGTTTTGGTGGATGAAGGGCTGTAGTTAATATGGTCCTTAATTTGCCAATTGAATTAAGAACCCAAAAAAATGTTGGTCTGGTCGGGAATATTGCTTACAAAATGACAGATTAGGAGATTTACTTTCAATGTCCTTCACTAAATCTACCACAGTTCTATCGTTCTCATTTTAATGGTGCTCATTTTAAGCAGTTATTGCAGGTTATTTTTTAGGTCTTTACTTTTTTGACCTTGTTTTGTTATTGCAGAAAACAAAATATTTCCAAAAAAAACACATGACAAAAGGACACCCAAGCAACAGGCATCACATGTCTGTTATGGAGGGGGGAAGGGGGGGGGGGGGGGGTGGGAAGGATGCCCAATTAAAATCCTAACTTTTTTTGCTAGGATGTAGCCTCCATCCTGCAAAATCCTCCAATTGGCCTCATGGAAAAATAGCATACAGCCTCAATCCTGCCAATTTCTCCATTATTTCTTGAATATGGTCCGTGGAGGGGTGACCACTGCCTGAATCCTGCAAAATCCTGTGGCAGTGACTGCAAATATGTTGAGGCTTGGCCAGTGACGTCCTGGAGCAATATGGATGATTTCAAACATAATCCAGGCCTATATTTATGCATGGCTGAGCAAAAACAAACACAAGGTCCAGCCCAAGACCTTGACAAAGTGCATCCTACAAAATCAGTAGTGCACTTTTGCCATGTAACCTCAATCCTCCAAATTCCTCCACTTTGGTAAAGAGGATTTTGAAGGATTCAGGGCGGTTAGGGTTTGAGTCATGTCTTAAACTCACACTTTGGCTGAGACAAGTTTTGTTTTACTCACCTCTGAGGGGAGTGAGCCGTCTGTCTGTGTCACTCATTTTGCTGGATGCTTCCACTGTAGCTGGATGAAAAATGCTGCCGACTTTTCCTGAAATTGATACATGTAGTCATGTCATTGGCAAATGAAAAGATGAAATCATTAAAATCAATGTTTTGGGTCATCAAATTTACTGTTTGAAGCATGATACAAGTGAAACACGTCTCTAAAGGAAAATGAATTAATTCTCTAGGCCAGGGTTAACTTGATGTAAGGTGGCAATTTAATATCTTGTAATGTATACCTAGTTATATACATGTACACGAGCATGAGGGCGCTACACGATCTGCCAGTTTAAGAATGGAAAAAAAATGTGATGCTGGTTACAGCTAAATAAACACTTCAAACAAATTAAGAGTTGCCTTCCTTTATTGTTTTAAATGGAATCATTGCAGACGGGATTGACGATCGCAAAGTTGCGGTGCGGCCTAGGTCTCTAGCGTGACATCAAGTATGCACACCATTACCATAGTATGTGGAAATATGCCTTAGTACATGTATTTCATTTTCATGCGACTAAATTAACATTTTGGGTGTCATTTGCAATTGAGAAAGTATTTTTTGAAATAATGAAAGTTTTGCAAAATAATCATGATAATGAGATTTTCGTGCGGCTGCTGCAGGGAGGTGCAGACGGTGGACGCAACTCTAAAACCTTCATTCTCATCATTTTGCTCATGGCCTTACAGCAACCTCTTATTTTTTTTTCATATTTTTTTTTATAGTTTCATTTTTGTTAGACCCATGAACATGGCTATAGACACGCTCCAGTCATGCCACTTTGCCAGTTGCATAGAAACAGATTGTACGGGCACCCAGACCCGGACGACTCCTACAATTTTCGCGTGCATGACTCGGAGTGCCAGCGTACCGTGCATGACCTCCGAAAATCACAAGTTCAGCTCATACGTTTGTTGTCATATTGAGGTCGTTTTTTCCCCCTCAAATTTCTTGGCAATTTTGCAAGATCCTACACTCGTGTGAATTTACAGAAAGCTTTGTATGCAAGTATATTATACTGTCTTGTAAAATATACTTATAAATACACACGTAATACTTGTGAAATGACGTTCTGCATCAGTGCATGACAATTTCGATTGTATTGGACTGAGCGTGGCGTTGTTTGCGCCTTTTTTGCGGGTCTAAATTTTGTTTAGGCTACTTTTATGTTTTTTAATGTTCCCTAAGTAGTTTCATTTTCTAGGTAATGACGGCACACTAACGTTTACTAAAGGTTTGCCGGCGGCAATCCATATCAACAGAGGGCGCTGTACTCTTTAAGATAGGGCTGAATTGTAACATGTATTAAATTCCCAACGAAAGTTGTGTAGCACTCTTGGTGTAATGGTTAAGCAAAGGCTCTAGTAATCGGGATGACTCGATCGGGTTCGATTCCGACCGCAGCACATTTTTGAGTTTTTTTTATCTCATCCCCAAATAAATAAGAATATTCTTCTTTTATTATTTTAACATATCTCAAACATTTTTTTGCAGAGTATTACATTTTCTTTTTCAGATTTTCAGATAACACCCGATGACTGTTTCATGCACTAATATAAGGTTTACCACTCGCATCACAGCTTTGGTACTGGAACCGCAACCAATAGTGCATGAAACAGTCATCGGGTCATACGCTTCCGCGTGACGTCATGCGCCAACAGCCAGCGCAGCCGGCAAAAACGAGTAGTTGACAGCGATCGCTCTCTGTGCCTGTTAATCGACCGCCATTCATTGTACACAATTTTTTTTGTGCACAAACCAATTGCGGTCCTGGCCAATCCAGCAAGGTTGTCAAGTTAGCGGTTATTCCTCCTGTTTTCACTGCAATTGTAGGCTGAATCTTCATCGTGGATCGTTTTTTACTTCAAGGACCTGTGTAATGGTTATTCCAGGCAAGTTTGGGGTGAGTTGCAGTTGCAATTAGTGTGTAACGGGGACAAAAATTTCAAAATTGAACATTTTCCAAAATTTTTTGAATATACTACAAGTTACAAGAAAAATACGCTCCAGCCCTAGATGACAACCCAATGATAAAACTCAGGGCTGCACATACGAACTTGGCCTATGCATCGTGCGGGAATTTGCACGCCTGCGCACTTGCAGTCATTTTTAGAAAAATATGTCGGTGACTTGCCTACGTCACAGACAACCCGAACGTTTGCGGGTCAATCCAGGTCAATTCCCGCGCGGACCATCTATTTTTGAACCGATCGATATTGCGGTCGGCCGATATGTAATCTGATACGTTCCCACGCCACGGCAAGGCACTATGCATACATGCTGCATACAAATACGTATACGTGTATGTACATGTATTGGATGATCCAGGGGATCGGCGAGCTTCAAGTCAATTTTTTCAAATCGGAGTTCGACTCGAAGCTTGCTTCATTTTATTTTTGACCAAAATGCAATTTGGCATTACATGTATATTCAAAGTTACATAATAATACAGCAAATATGAAAGACCGTTTAGATCTCTACATCATTTGTTGTGAATTAGCCACTGGAAAACACAGTACAAAATAACTTTATTTAAGTTTAATAACTTTTCAAAATCTGCACCTGTGGTTTTTAGTATTTTACGACGATGGAAAAAAAAAACATTTTTAAAGTTCTTTATCCTTTTTTCCCCGGCATATTTTTAAAGTTATATTTCATTGTCATAGTGCTAGCCCAGGGCGGATAGGCATCGTGTCTTTTTGCTATCAGTCTTTATGTTATCATTTTAAAAATTATTGTGTTTTACAGGCATATTTTATTCATAGGTTAATTTAAATGTAAGTTTTACTATTGTCAGTTCTTGCATGCTGTTTTTACTGTTTTTACTCTTTGATTTACACCAGGACAAGAATGTGTTTGCTTTTAATTTAGATGACTAATACAAGTACGAATATGAATGTTCACCACTTGTCAATAATGTCGAGAAGTTATAACAACAAAGGCATGAAAATAAAAGGAAATACACTTGATGCCAACTTCACGAAAGGGGTAGATCATGGGGGCAATTCCGAAGAGTCGTCAAAGAACAGACGCAAAACAAACAATCCAGATTATAATCTCCCCCAGGCTAATACATAGTCAAAAACCCGTTCTTTAAAAATCGAATCAGAGTAAGTAAGCAGTAAGCAGTAAGCATGACAAGTCTTTCTGGTCCCTCCCCTGTTCATACCAGACCCCTTGTGGTTTGCCATCTCCCTTTGTTTCTGTGTTCTCTCATCCACCCTCCCCTGCATCTTTCCACACCTTTCCCACCTAATCCTCCTTTTGTGTTTCTTCTTTCACCCCTGCATGTTTGTGTGCACCCCCTTGTTAATGCATGTGCCTCTGTCATTTCTGTTTTATTAGCCTCTGAAGAAGAACTTGCTAAGTTCGCAACGTCAGGCCACATTAATTTTTAGATTTAAGTCTTTTAAAAAATAGTTTTGAAATTTTTGAATCAAATTGCAAAAGGTTTTCAGCGTTTTTACGGAGGGACTAAATTATCAATCCAAAAATCATACCTTTTTTCAAAATTCTTGTTCCGGCTGAAATTGCACGCAACGAACATTTTTTGGAAAGAAGTCTGGGTCAAAATCAGATAAAATCAACGAAATCATAACAATCAATGTTGAGAAAACTTCACCTGAATGTCTTTTGATTTTTTACGAAGAGACAAATTCGTGCAAAGGGTGGGGAATGGGTATCGGCAATTTGCCAAAACAACAAGTGTGTGGGATTTAGTTTTCACGACCAGACAAACATCTATGGGGATTAGTTACGATACCGGTACCTCGCAATTGTTGTTCCATTATTCTGTAATTGGTACATCTTTGAAGTTTCATCTGTGTTTCAAAAGTTAGTCAGTAGTATGCGAAATGTTTATTCCAAATCATGACCAACTTAAAACCTCTTTTCTGACAACCACTGCAAGTTCAACGGGTGCATTATGTTATACCTGTTCCCCAAACCTAACCCTAACCGTTAAACCCCGACACCTATTGCGGCAAATTCACCCCTTCGTGAAAACGCTGACAAATTGGAATAAGCGAAATCTGGATAAAGTCAACACTGATAACTCAAAACCTGAAAGTCAAACCATCCCTCCATGGTCAAAGAAAACTGCATAGTACTACGAAATAAAACAATATATATACCCTGATTAACCAAATTTCGAGTTGTTCCGTAGCTGCATGGGAGGCTATACTATCAAGGTTGGGGCCTTAGGCCTATATATCGCAAGTCCGACTCCTCCGATGATAAACCTGGACCCCCGCCACGCCTCGGAAGTCCGAAATTTCCAAATTATTAGGCGTCGGACTGATGAGGTGTCGGACCTAGGCGTCGGAATTTTATAACAGTTATGGGCCTTATATTAGATTTTGCCGGACTTGGGGCCTATATGCGTCTGACATAATTATATGAGGCTTAGCGGAGCCCTTAACATTTCCCTTTAAGTCCAATGTTATTGAAAGGTCAGAAACGATGGAAAATGATGAATACTCCGAATACAAAATACTCTAAATAATTATGGAGAACTAGTGATCAAAGGCATCTTGTGAGCGAATAGTTCGTCAGTACTGATTGTTATTCTCCTCTGATGTCATTGTGTATCGTCTAAACATGAGAATGCAGTTTCTATTTTGTTGGTTTCTGACAAAGGAAGGCATTTCAAATACATGTATTTTGCACCAATTTTTAGAGAAAATATTCTGAACTTGCGGAAAAAGGACCCACCAAGTCAGAACGTCGGCCAAAGAGGCGAAAAAAGATATGGTTTTTTTTGCATGCGGGAGGTGTTTGGTACGCCCACGGGGGTACGGACATGCGGATCCAGATAATCCACCCTAAGAATTTCTGTGTAATAAGCCATGCTAGAGTAAACTTTTAAATAATAAAACATGAATCAATGAAGTTGGAGGCTCACTCGGATGGCAGGTAAGGGAGCCGCTGGTACGTTCAAGTTTGACACCACCGAGGAGAAAGAGAAGGCTGCCGGCCAAGGCTAATGCAGCTAAGGAGAAGGAGAGAATCAAGGCCAAGAAGGAACGGGAAATGAAAGCCAAGATTGCAGA